CTTAGGACAATGTTAAATTTCTTGGTGTTTCCGTGAACACAGTAAAGGTGGCCAACAAACGATGCAGGAGAGTAAGAGCACTCATTCACAGGCCTGTACAAGGAAGAATGGTCAGCGTGTTCACGGATAGAATCAACGAAATGTTTGCTTAGCAATCCACGGTGCTCCATCAGAAGGATGGCGAGGCGCTGAATTTATCGAAGTCATCGATGGGGCGCATCACTAAGGGAGAAGCACTACAAACTATCACATGCAGAAGTGCCGCTTCATTCTGTTCAGCAACAAACAGCAGAGAGGCCGAAAAGTTGGAAGGTACTAGCGCGCTTCACTGGCGACACGCAACTCTCGATCGTTTTTTCTGACGAGAAAATATTCGCTGTGGAGCCGGTGTTGAATAGCCAAAGCGATCACATTCTAGTCAGAAGTATCGGGAGTGTCATCTCACGAGGGAAGATTGTTGAAGAACGGCTAACTCGGCATCAGTAATGAATTGGGTGTGAGTCGCGGCCAATGATGAGATGCCGTTGAATTTTGCCGATTATGTGAAGATCAGCAAGGACGCGCGTATTAGTGAACGTATTGAAACCTTGATCCAACCCCACTTTGGGAACAAGCCGTGGTGTTGCTAGCAGGACAGTGCTACAGCCTATGGGGCCAAACTCGTTCAAGGCAGATGCGAGCTACCGCCTCTTGCTCCCCTAATCTTGATCACTGGAACTCTCAGTATGATCCATGATTAAGAGCAAGGCATGTCGAGCTCGTCGTATGAATCTGCAACCATTGCAAGCAGCATCAAAGGAAGCCTGGGAAGAATTGGATAAGGAACACCTGCGTGCAACGTGCGAATGGTGCAAGAAGAGACTCCGGGCCTGAATTCGTGCAGGTGGAGGACATTTTGAAATCTGGTTGTTGCATGTTGTAGTGTATGATGTTAGTATAATTATGTTTATATTCAATTACCATTCTGTGTCCAACAGTTCAAAAACATTGCAATAAATAGGCGCAAGTAATTCCAGGACACCCTGTATGAACAACTTGAAGAATAATGCTGAATTTCGGTTTAAGCATCGTAATCGAGATAATAAATGAATTAGTTTGATACAATTTGTTTCTATTATAAACAAGATAACTTAGTTGAATTTATTGCTCTTCAGGTCTTGTCGAGCCCGATAACGTCTTTATTTATTTTCCTGCTTGGCGTTACAGTACACAGTAGTGATTTCCATTCATTGAACAAACTTGATGGTTACAGATAGATGATATTATACATACCTAAACTAACAGAGGCTGAATAAGCTCTAGTTAATCAAGCTCACCGCTCAGTGGCATAAACAATAAGCGTAGGAGCCTTGCCAAGGTTTTTTGGTCAGAACTGTCATCGCTTCCTTACAGCAAGTAGGCGCATATTATATTATTTTATGCACACGTGAAAAATAATTTTATACATCCTATAAATAAAAACCTCGACACACCACTTCTTTATTCGAAAAGCCTGCCCATTGCTGTGTAGTTGCGCTCTACGAAGCTCCTATTCTCTTCCATATTCTCTGCCGGAACAGCTACAGCAGAGAGGTGAAAGTACGGGATCTATTGAATCTCCTGACGGTACCGAACGGGCGACATGCCAGTCCAGAAATAAACGCACTCATGAAGGTTTTGAGCCGGGATCAATTTGATGCGGTACCTTCACTCGAATACGGAAGTGGAGCTGCAAATTGGACAACAAGGGAGAAAAATGGAAGGACTACCGTCAAAAACACTTAAAACACACCTCCCTCGCTCTACAATGCGTGAACTCTAGAAGGCACACAGTGGAACAAGAGCTGATCTCAGTCGCAGAAAGGGTTGAGATCTCTATTCGAAAGAGCACAGCTGATCAATCATTACGACACAAACAGGATATCGAAGACCGGGCGTAGCAAATCGCACGCGCCTGACCCCTAGTGAGCGAGTTCGAAAAGCTAAGCGTCGCGACCTTTTCTGTTGCGGTCCTAGCACCTCCATCCACGAGAGGGAGCTCATCAGAGCGGCTGAGCCCGCCTTCCCTTTAAGGGATGGGAGGTGTGCGATTCACTTTTGTGTTAAAAACAATAGAGCGCGCGAGGTCACGAAAGTTGCATCTTGACGTATTTCAAGGGCCGAAGTCGATTAGGACGCCTTGTGGCGTTCATTCGTAATTGCCCCGCGCTTCCGCATGGTCGTGAAATAATTAAGCGAATCACCTAAAAATAGGAAATATGATTAGTGAATTTTTGCCTGATCTAGCGCTCATGGAAACCCATACGAAATTCGGGTTGATAGCTTCTGTACATGATCTTTTCCGTTTCGAAATTCTTAACAAAACAAGGAAGAATTTAAGAAAACGTAAGGTAAGGTAAACGTAAAAACCTGAATAGTGGGTGCGTTTGAGCCGAAGGATATTAGGACCACACCTTTGCTGTCGCTACGCTCCATTATTGAACGAAATTTCTGAATAGTTTTTACACAGTTGGGAGGAGTTCATTAGATTCTGCTAAAGAATTGGAGCCAACCTCATCCAAATCGGTTGCCTGTGGCAATGCTATGCCACCAATGTGAACAAGTTTGCCGGAAGTCAGAGAAGCGTATTCAGAAACTCATCTGAGTTAGATAATACATAATTAGTTCGGACTGGCGATCATTTCGCGGAGGTTCCTTTGAATACCATTCTTCACGAACATTGTCTGAAAACACGTCGGCACCACCGAATAGAGCGCTGTTCTATCAAAACAATGCAGTGGCGCACCAAAAGTATGTGGACACCCTGGAATCGATTCTCAGGAGTCAGGTGAAGGCTTTTTTTGTTCATTTTTGAAACTCCCATTCAAACTCTAGTGGTCGATGACCTACAATGACATTTTCTGCAAAAGAACCGGGTCTCTGGATAATGTCTTGCCGATCTGTTCCCAACCAGTCAATTTCACCGACGTGTTAGGTCACTTGTGATATCACTCCTTCGTTCAATGACGTAGAGATCGCGATCACGATGCCTCTTTTAATAGGAATGAGGTCTGAGAGATACGCTGGCCGACTTACCAATTAAAGCCTTTGTATTTAGCATTTTTCCAAATTGGATGATGTCCGGGACCTCCCCTGCGAAACAAGTGTATCCCAATTGTGATCTCTCAAAAAGGTTGTAGCCGAGATTCAAGCACCTCATTATAATCCCAGTTGTCTACCTGACATGTTAGCAAGCCAAACTCCGACCCACTCGAATAGCAAGAGAGAAGCTTCTTTCTGCCAGTTGAGTTGGTCTATGAAGTAAATCTCTACAGAAAGTCTTTTGTACTTAACTTGTACTGGAAATTTCATCATTTCCACGAAAGAGCTGTCTGTGTGGGTTCAAGATATTATGTTGTGATCC